ATTATTATATATATATATATATATATATATATATATATATATATATATATGGAGTACTTTGTTTTAATATTATCTTTGTTCATTCTTAATTGTCATACTTTCTTTTATGGAGTACTTTGTTTTAATATTATCTTTGTTCTTTCTTAATTGTCATACTTTCCTTTTCTTTATTATAGCAATAAAAAAATTGACTAACATTTTGTAATGTATTTTTTTTATCATATTGATCTGCAAAAAATTTTAATTTATAGTATTTTATGTATCATTTTTGAACATTTAAAGTTTTTGCATAAAATATTGAATTATTGTAATATAATTTAATTTTAAAAATTAGTGAGTTCATTTTCAAAAAACGCAATATGACAAATAAAAATGAACAAGATAGAGGGTACTACTAGATAGAAGAGTCTAGAAGCTCAAATCTCTAGTCGATGGTATTTATGGAAATTTTATATATTTTTGTTTTAGTTTGTTTATATTTTTATAAGTCTTACGATTAAATTGAAAAATATACAAAAAAAATTATAAATTAATAATTTAAAATATTTGAGAGAAAAAAACAATTAACTTTCAAAGTTTTATTATCTAAAATTGAATGATAAAAAGTAACATATATTATTTGAAAATAATACAAAAACTAATATAAAAATTGTAATAGTTAACAATTTGAACTATTTCAAATATGATTTTTGGTTAGTTCTTGAAATTTTATTGCTGTTATATAAATTGTACAAAGGAAATAATATATATTATTTAAAAATTATATAAATATAATATAAATTAAAATAATTAAAAATTTATAATATGAAAAAATTATATTAAATTGATGAGTGCATAAATTAAAATAAAGACAGTAAGAGTAAATGACATAAATAGTCCCTTAACTATATGAGTAGATCTAAAAATGATCTGTTAACTATACACTTATCAATTTTAATTTCTTAACTATAAGTTTACCGATTTTAATTTTTTAAATATTCACAATAGTTTGATTTTTGTCCATTTTTTAAAATACAAATATCTTTGGTTTTTAGTACGCACCATCCTAAACTTTGATAGTTTTGTTCGAGAAACTCATCATGCATTATGCTAATCAGTCCGAATTTTATGTAATTTACTCTAATTTCTTTATGTAAAATAAAAGGAATTGAATAATAAAATTGATCTATTTAAAAAAATATTCTAAAAAATAAAATCTATCATTTTATAAATTATCATTTCTGAAAAATTTAAACAAATCTAGTTCAATGAAATCGTTGGAGTACAAACTTTGGATTTAACGGATATTAATTTTTTTCTTTTTATAATAAAGTTTAACATATTCAAGTCATTAGTAATAATAATATGCTTCATTTTATGCTCTGTTGAATAAAATTATGACTCATATTTTCTTTATTCATAAATTTTATTTTAAATCGTTGAGGTTAAGCTTCTTCGCATAAGGTTAATTTGAAGAAAAAGTAACGGAGATAGAACCACCAGAAAAAGTTGCTAAATGATTTAGTTTCTCGAGGCGTAGATTCTGTTAATATAAAAACCTAAGTTATTTATATTTAAAAACGGACAAAGATCAAACTTAATAAGTTTTTAAATATTTAAAGGATTAAAATTTTTAAATTTATAGTTAAGAGAATAAAATCGATAAGTGTATAGTTAAAAAATTAAATTAACAAATTTTTAATTAATTGAAGAAGGACTGAATTCATTAAGTATAAAATTTAGGGACCGTTTTAGACCTATAATTGAGGGACTATTTATGTCATTTTCTCAACAAAGTAACTTATATATATATAATTGTTCTGTCCATTTTAAGTAATAAAGCTTTGAAGAAAAAAGTGTGAGAAAAAAATTAGAAACAAATTAAAATATTGTCCTTGTCCACGTAAGTTCATTGAACTTCTTAAGAAAACATCTATTATGGAATTAGGAGTTGGAATCTTGTAATGGTTTGAAAATGAATTTGAGCATTTTTTTAAAAGCATTAATTTATTCTAACAATGACAAAAAAACATTTATATAAGTTCAGCATATCTTAATTAAATATCATGTCCCACTTCTTTGTCAAAACCATTAAAAATATTACAAGAAAGTAGAAAAAGCTACATATAAACTCCAGTTTTTACCCTCGACTTTTTTTCAATACCAATGTTATTACTCTTAACAACTTATTAAAGTTTATTTATAATCTATCCTTGAACTGATAATTGTAATAGACACAAGAAAAGCAACTACCCTGCTATATTTTATGATGAATTCTATACTTCTTTGAATCATCAGTTAAAAAGTATAACTGAAACAATTAAAAATGAAATGTGACTTGCTATATTATTTAAGGACGTTGTTAGAAAGAGCGAAGGAGGTGTTCAAGAGTAAGAAAACATGTATAAAAGGTTTTTTTTTCTTCTAAAGAGAGTTGATTATAAAAGTCTGTTTAACATTACTTCTAAAAACTGCTTATTTTTTTATAAATACTTTTTAAAATAGTTTTTTAAAAAATATTTTTTGTAAGAACAATTTATATTTAACTAATTCATTTGAAAAATGCTTTTTTAATCAAATTATGAAAAAGAAAAAGTGTCAAATGTAGTTTTAATATCAAATTATTTTATAGAGAGAAATTATTTTAAATATCTATTATTTATAATCAAATTAAATATACATATACAAATCTAACATCTAATAATTTAAAATAGACAATTTATTTATCATACAAAAAGTAAAATTACTTTCAGGATGATAACTTAAAATATTAAAATTTAATAACTTGAATAAACCAATAATTTTTCCATTTTATTGATAATTTTGGAATGAGGGGAAAAAAGACACGAAAATTGGACACTCACATCTATTATATTAAAAGGGTTTGAATTTATTTACACTTAATTTTACTTCAAAATTTAAACTATCCTCAATTTTAAGAAATAATCATTCTTCCCTTTCTTGCTTAATTAACGTTCCAAATATTTATTCTACCTTTGTATTGTCAGCATCTATCTTTATTGTTATAATACTTTCTAAAATCATATCATAGTATTTTTGTGATTTAATAATATATTTTTAAAAATTCTATAAAACATATAAATTTTGTTAAAAGGAAAAGTGAGAAATGCCGATTAATTGGACTATAAAGATTGGTTTTTGTCGTTATAAAAATGTAAATGGGAGAAAATCGAGCTCGGAAAAACTTTTTCGTGGTACTAGAATTTTTCCAATCTTGTTCAGATTTGGAGGAAATTAAACTCATCAAGGTGTAGGGAAATTTGATAGCAATAGGGTGGAGTAAATAGGAATTTGATTACATAATCTATTAGATAACTCGATAGGAAATTCGTACGACTTTACGAAATTGAATTTGGATAAATAAACCTCCGGAAATTGACTGTAACGTTAAAGGTACTTTCTAGCATAATGGGCTAAGAGTATGTTGTGAAAAATGGAAACTGAAAATTCCTCAGGAGCTTACTGCCTTGCTTCGTGTCGCTGCAGTGACGCTGCTACATCAGGATTGGTGTCGCTGTAGCGAACGAGGCGAAGATTGAATTATAGGATTTTTGGAATTTTTCAAGACATAGCTCATTGGTTCAAAAGGTGTCGCTGCATTGACACTGCTACAGCGAGATGAGTGCCGTCATAGTATCTCTTTATCATATCACATAATAGGTGAATAAGCCCATATTCATCTTTATACTTTCCAGAATTTAGGGATTTAGTCCCAACATTAGTTGATCCTATCAACTTTTCATGAGAACAAGCAACAAAAAGAATTCTTGAAGAATCTCCTAATTCTTCAATGTATGTCTATTACTCAGTATGCACATTTTTGGGATGACCAAATTATTCATGCCAACTAATAATTATTAGTACTCGTAAACTCCAAGTTTTACTATGTCATGTGTCTTTTTGCTTTAGTAAATTTCTAAGTTACTATTATATGAGTATATTTTAATTTTATTACTCCGAGAGTAATTTTTAGATTTTTTCTTCTCATTAATTCTACCCCTTCTAGAGGTGAGTCGTGACTCCATCACTGAATGAACTACTCTGATTATCGAAAAATTGTGCATGTAATTATATTATTTGTGCCAATAATTTTGCAAACCCCAAATTGCAAAATGACAATAGGCACATATGAGACCATATAGAAGGATCATCTGTTAGGACCATGATGTATCTAAACAACCCACTAGGTAAGTGAATAAGTCCATAAATATCCCTATGTATAGTTCCAAGAACGCATGGGATTCAATCACAATTTTCACTGATGATGGTCTCACAATCAACTTGCCTTGATAACAAACAATATAAGAAAATTCACCATTAAAAAGAATATTTAAATTCTTTAATGAATGTTCATTTTAATTATGTATAATTTGCCTTATGATGTCCCATACAATCATGTAAAAGTAAGACAGTATTGTAATTAGTATAGAATGTGCCTCAATTGGCTTACACCTCGTTCACTTTAGAAAATGAATCTATATCTTTAACATTTATCAAAAGTTCTCATTCTTTATGAATGGAACACAAAAATGTGAGCATATCAATTTATGATAGTTTTAGTACCTCACTCCATATTTATGTGCATTATTCAGTCACTTGACTTCTTTTAGACATATATGCACTACTACCACATTCGCTTTAGTAATGGAGCAAATTCAGTAAATTTCATGACTTCTCATAAAAAAGACATTAGTTTTTCTTTAGTCATTATTATATCATCAATATGGTGCATTAAGACTCAAATTCAATGTTTTATCCATACAAAAAATGTCTTAGGCCATAAATATATCGATAGAATTTGAACCCAATAGCTTCTCATTGTGGTGCATCAAGACTTTAAGTCAATGTCTTACCCTCTTGGTGCGATTGAACGTAAATCCATCGTCTTATTCTTTTGGTGCAATAAAACTTATTCACCGTCTTACCCACAATGAGGCTCAACCTCAAGTCT